GTCCCTGGGAATTTGCTTCCAGACAGCTCCTATGGGGGGGGCGGGGAGGTGGGCACCAGTCCGTCAACAGACCCGCTTGCCCACCCCCGCCCAGGGACCCTGGCCGAGGTCCGAGGGGTCTGAGGATCTCGTCCGCACACGCCTTCCCGGGTGGAGAGGGCAGAGCAGACAGGGCGAACCTCCCCCCAGCGTCCACGGAGCAGAACAGCCCAGGAGCAGCCGGGCCCAGCTGAGGGTCGGCAGGGCCGGGGGCAGCACCCCGCCCGGACAGGCCTGCTCAGCGGGCGCTCCGGGCCCCCAGCGGGGAACTCGGTGTGCAGCCGCCTGGGGCCCCGGCCGGCCCCGCACAGAGCCAGGCCGGCCTCCGGAGGCTCCGCTTCCCACTGCTCACGCACAGCTCAGCCTCCACGCGGCCGGGAATCCAGTCCCCGGTGCACAGCGGGGGCTCAGCGGGGGACAGGAACACGCGAGGGCAGGAGACGGGGAGACCCGCCCACATCTCCACGGCACTCAGGCCCGAGCAGCCACCTCGCACAGGCACATGGACACGGACACACAGTCACAGGGACACGGGATCACACGGACATAGACACAGGGACACAGAGTCACAGGGTCACACAGACACAGGGACACACAATCACAGGGACACGGGGTCACAGAACGTGGGATCATAGGAACACAGACATAGGGTCGGGGGTCAAAGGGACACAGAGTCACAGGACACGGGTCACAGGGACACACAGACACAGTCACACGGACACACAAACACAGGGACACAGGTCACAGGGACACACAACAAACAGTGCGGACGGAGCTGCAGGCAGGGGGCTGGGCGGGAGTGTGAGCACGCGCGAGCCTCACGCCTAGGCCCTGCACGCGTGTGCGCACCCCACGCTCCCTGCACGGCCGGCGGGTGTCATGCAGCCGCTTTCTGCTCCATTTCACACCACTTGGCTGCTGAGCAGACACCGGCTCTGACTCCAGGGCGCAATTTCCCGGCTGGGAGGCGCGGCACACGGCTCAGAGCGGCGCACCAGGCTCGGATGGGTGTCCCGCGGGCCCCGGTCCCACCCGCCCCTGTGGGCCTCGGGAGAGTCCGTGCGGGGGACCCCGTTCCTGAAGCTGCCGCGCACGCTGGGGCACCAGCCATCACCCCTGCTCAGCTGGTCCAACACTCCGGCCCGGCCCGCCCGGCCCCAACCTGGCTGGGCAGGAGCAGAGGGACAGGCCCCATGAACCCGCTCTGCCAGGCCCCGGAGAGCCCAGACGTGCGTCCACTTTACAGATGGACGGGGCGGCTCTGCGGTGGACGGGCAGGCCACACACGCGGCAACAAGGACAGGGAAGGACGCCGGTGGCCTGGCCAGCACAGGGCACAGCCCCCCAGGAAGGTACAGCTCCTGGGGTCCCCCCAAGGGAAGGCCACATCCTTCCAGAGAGAGAGGGTGGGAGAGCAAGTGACACAGGGGCCTACACGCGAGGGGGAGGGGCAGGAGGGGGGGCAGGGGAGGAAAAGTTAAGGTTGAATGCTGGAAGCAGGGCGGGGCGCAGGCAGGGAAGCGGGGCAGGGGGCGCAGGCAGGGAAGGGGGGCGGTGCAGGGACACCCTCTCTCCACCCCTCCCCAGCATCCCTGAACCTGACCTGCTTAGCAAACGCCGGGGCAAAGGTCTGGCAGGGGAGCCCCAAACAGGTGCCGGCCGGGCTGGAGCACCCTGCCCGCCCCCGCCTCACCGTGGCCAGTTCCCATGGAAATAGACCCGCTAAGGGCCACCTCTCGGCCTGGCGGGGAGGCACTGTGAGCCCCACACGGGGAGCGGGAGGAGGGAGGGAGGAGGGAGTGCAGAAGGGAGGGCAGGTCCCGGCTTGCGGAGCCCTGGCCCGAGGCAGCGGCGGGCTCCGCTCTGTCCTCCCAGCCCAGCCGCTGTGCTGCCCCCACGGGCGCCACGGGGAAGACCCCTCTCGCCCTGAAGCACGGCCAGCTGGCAGTGCTGGCCTCGGCTCTGAGACGCCCACCGCGGAAAGAGCCCATGCAGCCACAGTCCTAAGACCCTCATCAGCTTCCAGTGCTCTGCGCGGCCTACCGGCCACCCCCACCCCCTGCCCCCCTTCCTTTAGCTCCCATCCACCCCCCCCCCGCACTCCCCCGGGGCCTCTCATGGCGCCGCAGCCCCCGGCCTGCACGCCCAGCCTGCCCCCGGCAGGGGCCGCCCCGGGCACCCACCCCGTGTGCCCCCACAGTAATTCCACAACTGCCCGCCCCCAGGGCCTCCTTCCCGGGAGAGGAAACGAAGACCACCCACCGAAACTGCCCCCCCAGCCAGAGGGGGTGGGTGGGTGCCCAGGCGGGCAAGCAGAGGGCTTCCTGGAGGAGGTGCCGCCTCCCACGGGCCCCGAAGGACAGGCGCAGCCGGAAGAGCTGGTGGAGCGGCCTCACCCTGGCTCAGGGCGCCGGCCGTCCCGGGGGCCCCGGCTGGTCCCACCCACGGCCTGGCAGCGGGGGACGGGGCCGCACGCTGGGCCCGGGCCCACGGCCAGCCCCGGGGCAGGATGCAGGCGGCAAGGCCACGGCCACGGCCCGGCCGTATCTGAGAGCGCTTCTCGCACCCCCGTCAACAAGCAGAGCCGCTCCGGAGCTCACCAAACAACGCCGGCAGGGCAGCCGGCAGGGCCCGGGCAGCGGGCGAGGCAGAGCTGCCTGGGCAGGCGGACTCCGGCCCGGCCTCCCGGGAGTCACGTGACCCTGTTATTTCGGGAGGCCCCGGAACGGCTCTATTTTGGGTCCCGGAGGCTCCGATGTCACCAGAAGCCCCTCACCGGGGCTCCAGGCTCGCCGGGTCCCCACGAGTGGCCAGTGTTTCTGCCGCTCTGCTGCAGCCACCCCCCTCCCCCCCCCGGGCAAGTGGGTCACTGGCTGCCGGGAGGGTCTGGTGTGGTCCCAGATCCCAGATACCCAGTCCCGCTGCCACCCAGCCCTGCTGCCCAGGCCGATGGCAGCACAGCCTCGCCCGCCGAAGGGTGCGGGCCCCTGGCCGGCCCGGCAGCAGGGGCAGTCGGCAGGGGCACCTGGGGGGGTCACTCGGCCTCCAGACCTGCACCATGGGCTCATGCTGCCCCTCGCCAGGGGCTGAGCAGGCGGCAGCCGGGAGGCCCTGGGCGGGTGAGGGCAAGTGCCCACAGCACCCACCGAGCCCCACGGCGCCGCGAGGAGGAAGCCTGGGGCCCGAGGCCCTGGACGTGGCCGGACAACTACGAGGGGGGCACGGGCCAGGCCTCCCACCCCTCTCCCCCACCCCCCAGGGGGGTTAGGCCGTGCTGGCAAGGGGCTCAGGCCACTGGCCGCTTAAACGGCCCTTCCACTCCGCTGGACCTCAGCGCCGGCCAGGGGCTCAGGAGAAATAAAACGTACTCAGCCCCCGCCTCCCGCTCAGGCCTGGTGTGCAGACTGCCCCAAGGCCACGGGCGCGTGTGGGGAGAAGCCTGCAGCCTCCTGGCGGCGCGGGGGCGTCCATCGGGGTCCTGGGCGGTAGCTCCTCCTTGCAGGGCCGCTGGCACCCACCCTGCAACCTGGGCCCCCCGGGCCAGCTCCCAGGCCGTCAGGGACAGGGCCGTGTGTGTGTGTGTGTGTGTGTTTGTGTGTGTGTGTGTGTTTGTGTGTGTGTGTGTATGTGAGTGTGAGTGTGTGTGTGTGTGTGTATGAGTGTGTGTGTGTATGTGAGTGTGAGTGTGTGTGTGTGTGTGTGAGTGTGAGTGTGTGTGTGTGTGTGTGTGTGTATGTGAGTGTGTGAGTGTGTACGTAAGTGTGTGTGCGTGTGTGCACATGCGTGCTCGAGTACATGCAAAGCTTTAATGGGGAGATGTCAGCCCATCGGGGCCCGCCAGGCCGGACAGCAGGTCACAGACACATCAGCTGGTCCCTGCCCCACATGCCCCACTCCACGGGGCCTGTAACCTGTGGCCTCCGCCTGTGCCACCAGGTTTCCTGTCTGTGAAATGGGCACGCATGCCCGTGGGGGCTGGGGGAGCCCAGGTCCTTGTCATACAGTCAGGAGGGGGTCTCGGATCTGACAGCCCCGGAGCCTCGCAGTCACCAGTGGGCCCCATGCCCACCCTCACCCTGCACCCTGGGGCCAGTGCCCAGCCCCAGGGCCCTGCAGCCGGGCCAGGCTCTGACCAGCAGCCCAGGGCCAGGCTGCACCCCGGCTGCAGAGAGGGCAGACGGGGGAGTGTTTGTGTGTGCGGGGAGGGGGGGCTGACCGTGGGGTTCGCTCAGAATCAGCTGCTTTAATTTCCATCCAGGACGAATCCCTCACCGGCCTGACAGCCTGGCTGCTGGCCCTTCCCGGCACTCATTTGTAAAGTCTCCCGCCTCCCCCTGCCTCCCGGCGCCCAAGACCCGGAGCCCACGGCCCGGGGCGCCGGGCCAGGCCCCCTCCTACTCCCGGGAGGGACCCAGCCGGGGGCGGAGGGTCCCGGCCGGTGGGAAGGCAGCGGGCGGCCAGGGAGCCAGGAGCGGGGCGGCCAGGGAGGACGGAAAGCTGACCCCGGCCTCCGGGCGTCCTTCTCCGAGCGCAGGGCCGGCCCAGGGAGGCCCCGGAGGCGCCCGAGTGCCCGGAGAGGGCCCCGTGCCGGGACCGGACTCCCAGACCGGCGTCCCCGCGGCCGGCCCCGGGGCGGCCCTGCCCGGCGCGCCCGCCGCTCCGGGGAGGAGGGTCCGGTCCGGGCGGCCTGCGGGCGGCGGCGCGGAGCCGTCCGGATCGCGGCCCCGGGGCTGCGAGCGCACAAGTTGCTCCGGCGCCGGACCCGGGCCCCGCCGCCGGCTGGAGCGGGGATCCCGGCCGCGGGCTGCCAGGCCGGGCACCCCCCGCCCGCCGCCCCGGCCCCGGCCCCGCGACCCCCGCCCGCGCGCGGGTAAAAGTTGGCGCCCCCGCCCCGGGCCCGGCGCCCCAACTCCGGAGGCCGGCGGGGCCCGCGGCGAGGACGCGCCGCCGCCCGCACTCACCGAGCGGCAGGAAGTGCTTGGTGTCCATGGCGGCGGCGAGCGCGGCGGCCCCCGGCGCGGCCGGCCGGGCCCGGGCGGCGGGAGCCGGCGGCGGCGGGGCGGCGGCGGCGCGCGGAGGCCGCGGCGCGGCGAGTTGTTGCAAAAGTCGCCCAACAATGTAACTACTTGTGCGCGCGCCCGCCGCGCGCCCCCGCCCGCCCGGCCGCTCCGTCCGACCGCGGCGCGGGGGGGCGGCGGGGGGCCCGCGACGGGCGCGGACTCGGCGCAGCGCCGCCGCCCCGCCCGCGGCCCCGCCCGCCCGCCGCGCGCCCCCGCCCCCGCGCGCGCCCGCGGCCCGCGCCCCCGCCGCCGCCGCCGCCGCCGCCGCCGCGTCGCGGCGAGCCCGCCAGCGCCGTGCAAACTTGCAAGTTTGCCTCCGCCCGGGGTTCCCGGAGCCGCGGGGGCGGGGCGGCGGGGCAGGGCTCCCCCCGCTGCTGCCAAAAGAAAGAAGGAAAATCAAAACGCCGCTGGGCGGGCGGCGGGAGGAGAGGCCGGAGCGCGCGGCGGGCCATTGTCTGCGCCGCACAAAGCTGCCCGCGACCCGCTCCGCCGCGGCGGGGACACTGAGGCCGGCGCCGAGCCCGGGGAGCAGGCCGGGGGGGGGGGGGGGCTCTCCTGGGCCCCCCAGGCTCCGTCCTCCCCGCACTTCCCGCCGGGAGAGCAAACACCGGAGGGGACCCCATCCCCCGGACGGCCGCGGGGGCGCCGTTTCCGCTGCACGTGGGGCCACCCCGGGGACCCCTGGGGAGGCACCGGGCCGGGAGGAGCCGGGAGCGGAGCCCTGACTTTGTGGTTGCGGCTATTTTTGTGCCCTGGGTCGTCCTCTGCTCCGACTTTTAAATTCGGGGTTTGTGTGGAAATGGAAGGGAGCCGCCGGCCCCCGGCAGCCTGGGCTGCTGGAGCTGGGGGGGCGGTGAGTTACCTGCACCCCCTGCGCCCGCTCCGGGCCGGCCCACCGCCCTGCGCCCCGCTCCCGCCCCCCTGCGCCCCTCTCCCGCCCCCCTGCGCCCGCTCCGGGCCGGCCCATCGCCCTGCGCCCGCTCCCGCCCCCCTGCACCCCTCTCCCGCCCCCCTGCGCCCGCGCCCGCCCCCCTGCGCCCGCTCCGGGTCGGCCCACCGCCCTGCGCCCCGCTCCCGCCCCCCTGCGCCCGCTCCGGGCCGGCCCACCCCCTGCGCCCGCTCCTGCGCCCCGCTCCCACCGCCCTGCGCCCTGCTCCGGGCCGGCCCGCTCAGGCGGCTTCCTCTCACCACCCTCACCAGTTCGCTGCCACCTGGACCTGCCTTCCCAGTGCTGGCCCGGGCTCTGGGGGCAGAGAGCTTACCTAAGGCACCTGGGGTGGCCCTGGGGCCAGGGGGTGATGGAGAGGGTGGCATGGCCCTCCTGGCTGCCCAGACACAGACACAGCCCCCCGGAGGCCCTCCCGCCTGGTGCTCACTGCCCCGCGGGACCGCAGTCAGGCGCACGCTGGTCTGAGAAATGGGGGAGAATCAGGGCCCACCTCCACGGGGCAGCCTGTCCAGGAGGGGCCTGTCCAGGAGGGAAGCGCTGATTGCCTCTGGGTAGGAACCCCTTGGAGGTCTGGGGGGCAGCGCTGGCTGGGGAGCCTCCCCCCGCACACCCCAGGCCACAGCTGAGGCCTGCTCTGGAAAAAGTCCTCCGTGCTGGCTCCTGGGCCCTCTGCCCACCTGGCCCCCAGCACACACCTCCTATGCCCGCCCCTCCCTGCTGCCCCGGCACGGTTAGCCCTGATTCCCTCCCTTCAGGGCTGGGGGCGGCATCACGGGGCTGGGGCAGGCATCACGGGGGACAGGTTGGACACGGAGCAAACCTAGGCCCGCGGACAGACGGGGTGCGTGGGTCAGCCTGGTCCTCGGGCCTGGCTCCATCGCCCCTGGCTTGCCCTTGGCCGTGGCACCAGAAAGTAGTTTGCTTGTCACCCCAACCACTGGTGGGCAGTGGGTACTGCTAACCCACCTGACCAGTGAGGGCAGTGAGGCCGGGAGAGGTGACAGGATGGCACGGCGCAGGCAGAGAGGAGAAGCCGGCAGTGGAACCAGGACCTGTCCTCGGAACCTCTGGACCAGGGGTTCCCAACCTCTTTTGGCCACCCCACCTGAGCGTCTAAAACCCTGATGCCCCCTGGGACATGTCATTCTCATTTTTCAAAGAGTGACTCCTAGTCACATGTAGGAAGCCTCAAGGGCCATGAACTTGGTCTAAGCAAGCTTCCAAAGAACACGGCACCCATGAGAGAGAAATAAAAGACGAAAGGACAGTTGAAGTACGGAGGAAGAAATCGCTAGGAAATTGTTAAAAAATAATAATAATGTGAAGTGATAAAAAGCAGCAAATAAAGTTTCCAATAGAGAACTGAAGTGCATAAATATATCACAATGTCTATAATAATAAGAGGGTAATATGCTAATTAGACCAGGCAGCCAAACAACCTTCCGGACCTCCTTCTGGACAAAGCTATAGTGGCTGGGGCTGAGGGGGAGGTGGTTAGGGGCAATCAGGCAGGCAGCAGGCAAGTGGTGAGGGGCGATCAGCAGGCAGGCGAGTGGTTAGAAGCCAGCAGTCCGGTATTGCAAAAGGGATGTCTGCCTGCCAGTTTAGGCCCTGTGTGGGATCGGGCCTAAACCAGCAGTCAGACATCCCGATCTGAGGGGTCCTGGATTGCAAAAGGATGCAGGCTGAGCTGGGAGACACCCCCCGCCCTCATGCACAAATTCTGTGCACTGGGCCCTTAGTAAACACATTCTGGAATTGTCCCTCTTAAAAATCAAATGGCCCCCCGGTACCCCACGTTGGGAAACCCTGCTCTGGGCCATCGAAGGACGTGAGCCGGGGATCCGTGGCGCAGGCCCGCCTGCCTGCCTGCCCCTGCCCCGTGGACAGCCCGTCCTCGCTCCGGGGCAGGGTAGGGGGCAGGGGGGCAGGAATGGTCCCTGTTTTCAGAGTCGGGACCACTCCTCCAGCAAACCTTGGCTCGGGCCCGCTGTGCTGGGCAGGGGACTGACTCGGGTGCAGGTGTGGTCCCAGACCGACAGGCAGGGCCAGCGGCGCCTGACCAGGCCTCTCTCCTCCCTGCGCCTCGGTTTCCTCATCTGGCCTCACCTGAGAGCCACGCCTTCCTCCCTGAGTCACCGCTGACTCACGGAGATAACACGGAGAGTCTGGCCGGGCCTTCTACCTCCACTGTTAGGAGGCGAGGGATCGCCCTCCGGACACGCCCACGGGAACTTTCCCTGGGACGGAGCTGCGGGCAGACAGGAAGCCCGGGGACGGCGAGGGTGCGGGAGAGCAAGGCCCCGGCGGGCGGCGGGTTCCTGCCCGGCGTTTTGGAGGCGGGAGTTCCCGCTGGCGGAGGCGGGTGAGGGCGCCCCAGGCAGGAGGACAGGCAGGAGCAAGGCCGGAGGTGGGAGGCACCGGCGGCGGGTGAGGGAGCAGCGGGCGGAGCCGCGGGTAGCCCTGGGGCGAGCAGGTCGGAGCACGCAGGCCGGGCGTTGGTGGGAAACCGTCCGGAGCCTGCAGGCCGGGCTCCCGTCGCGGGCGCCTCCGCCGGGGCAGCCGCACCTGGCCTCCCCGCCCCCCGCCTCCATGGCACCCTTGCCACGGAAAAACTCGAGACCGCTTGGCACAGGCGGCGCCTGGAGACGGGGAGCCACACGCAGTTTTCCAGGGAGGCCCAGGCCAGGCTGTCAGGGTCTGAGGGCCTCTGTTCCCCAGAGAGACCTCAGCCACTCTCCGCTCTCCCGGGGGACACGTGGACGGGAGCGGGGCCCAGCACCCCGCAGGCCTGGCAGCCAGCCAGCCTCGGCTGCAGACGCTGCCTGCTCTCCGGCCCCCTCACCTGCGGGGTGGGGGTGCGGGGTGGCGGGTGCGGGGTGGCGGGTGCTCGGGAGAGGAGCCCTGCCTGGGAGTCGGCAGAGGGAGGGGCCCGGCCTCAGGGCTCGGCTGGAACATGCGGGCATGGCTCCGTGTTTCTATTCTCACTCTCCCCTTTGGTGCAAACGGTCACACACACACACACACACACTCACACACACGACACCTCCCCAGACAGCGGCTGCCCGGCTTGGAGCGGCCGGGTCCGAGCCAGCCGTGGAAAAACCCGCCCGGCCTTCCTGCCTGCGCAGCGGCCAGAGCTATTTTCGTATAATATCCATCTATTTACCACCTGGGAGCTGAGAGCGCTCGCTGTGTTCTGTTTGGGGCTCTGTTCCCCCTGAAGGACGCTCTTTAAAGGACTTGGGCCCGTTCCGCGCGCCTGTCTCGCTCCGTCTTGTAAACAGTCTCCGGATCGCCGGGAATAATATTTTTAAAGGCGGGTGTCTGCCGGGCGGGGGCTCCTGAGGCTGGCGTCGGGGTGGGCGGCCCCCAGCAGCTCCGGCAACCCCCAGGAGGCACCTCAGCGGCTCCGTCCCGCAAAGGGGGCCCCTGTGACCCCGAGTGGCGACCAGCAGGACCTCGCAGGGGTCTGGGGCCCTTGTCCCCACAAGCACACGTGGCTTTGACGTGGCCAGCCTGTCTGTGTGCAGCCCGTCCCTGTCCAGTCACCGTGGCAGAGGAGAACAGTCAGACCCCGGGGAAGCCCGGGGCAGCCACGGCACAGAGTCCGCCTTCAGCGGGCTGCACCCCCTCCTGCCTGTCCGGGCGGGTGGGCAGGAGGGGCCAGGGAAGACCCAGTCCAGGGAGAACGTCAGGCCGCAGACTGGAAAACTGGGTACCAGGCGGGGGGTACCATCTGCCCAGCCACCAGCTCGCCCGCGGCGCCCTCTGAGCCTCGGCCTCCTCTCCTGTGAGGGGCGAGGAGAGCCAGTGCCTCCAGGGCCGCTGTGGCCGCGGGAACACGTGACGGGAAAACCCGTGTGGACGCACTGCGCGCGCAGAGGGCAAGGCGCGGCGAGGCCCTCAGCCGGCCGTGCACATCCCGTCCCTCCTGTGCACACGCTAGGACACGGACATCGGCCACATGCGTCCATCCCGCCTGTGCACACGCTAGGACACGGACATCGGCCACATGCGTCCATCCCGCCTGTGCACTAGGACATACACATAAGCGGCCACACACGCGGGAGCCCCCGGCCCAGGAT